AGCAGGCATCACTAAGCCTGAACTCCCCCAGGCAGGTAGAGCTTCTCCTGAGAGCCCAGGCTTCGGACAACACTTACTTTGTCTGAGAGCAGAACCCTCTTCCCTGTTTTTCAGTGTTAGGGATGAGTCTCACACTTGCTAGGAAGCTCTTTACCACTGAGCCATGTCTCCAGCCAAGAAAGAATCTTTGAGTGCATGTGAGGTAAGGTATTAGGAGGTACATGTGTAAGCACGGCACGCATCTGTGAAGACCAGAGGTTGTTTTGTTTGTTTAGATGGTCTCTTTTACGTAGCCCTGGAATTTTATTTGTAGAGCAGACTGGCCTTGAACTTAGAGACATCTGCCCACCTCTGTGGCAGTACTGGGATCATAGCTAGGTAGTGGCAGCACACGCCTTTAATCCCAGCACTTGAGGGGCAGAGGCAAATGGGTCTCTGTGAGTTCAAGGCCATCCTGGTCTACAAAGCAAGTTCCAGGACAGCTAGGACTGTTACACAGAGAAACCCCGTTTTGAAAAATATAAAAAATTATAAAGAAAAAGAAAGCCACATACCATCACACCTGGCTCCACTTTTTTTTTTCTAGACAGGGTTTCTGTGTGTAGCCTCAGCTGTCCTGGAACTCTATAGACCAGGCTGGCTTTGAACTCACAGAGATCTGCCTGCCTCTGCCTCCCAAATGCTAAGATAAAAGGTAAGCATCACCACCGCCTGGCTTTCTACTTTGAGACAGCCTCTTACTGAGTCTAGAGTTCAGTGATTGGCTCTAGATTGCCTGGCCACCATGACTCCAAGGCCCTCCTGTGTCCCCCTCCCAGTGATGGGGTCATAGATGGGCCTGTCCAGCTGGGGACGAGAACACAGGCCCTCAGGCAAGCACTTTACCCCTGGAGCCATCTCTCCAGCCCCGAAAGAATCTACAGGCCAACTTCTGACCATGGATGGAGTAGGGACAGGAAAGCCAACTTTACTTTATTGGAACAGACTATGGCTCAGAGTTGCAGGGAAGGGTGTGGCCTTCTGAGAGAAGTGGAAAAGAACTCATAGCATCACCCAGCTGTGGCCCTAAACAAAGAGTTTTACTGGGGCTCCCGCTTGGTGGTTTTCTCTCAATCACTTTAAATCCCAGTAAAAATATTAACAGATTTTTTTGTTTTTGTTGTAAGGCATAAGATTAGTTAAATGAAAAATTGGGGACTGGGGATGTGTAGCTCAGGGCAAAGGGCTTGCCTAACATGCACCCGGCCATGGCTTTGCTTCCCATACAAAGTATCGGGGAACGTATAGCACAATGAATACGGAAGCTCAGAGGAAGGGGATTTGGGGATCAGCCTGAATGACCGTCAGTTAAATGGGAAGTAATAAATGGTTAACGAGCCAACACCAAACTGTGTGATGGCATTCTATGCACATACGTTCGGATGTGTGCCCGTGCATGGGCCTGGGGAGGCCAGAGATCTCGCTCGGATGCTCTCCTCCATTGTTTTCCACCTTGTGTTTTTGAGTCAGGGTCTTACTCTGACCCTGGAGCTTGCCAATTCACTACACTGATACGTGCCATCACACCTGGCTCTTACGTGGGTGCCGAGGATCCGATCCCAGGCCCTCACGCTTACGCAGTGGCACTTTTACCAGTTGAGCCATCTCCCGGACTCTGCAACGGTTTTGAAATTTTTAAGGAAGTTATATATTTACACAGAACGAATTCCAAGGTACAGTGGAAAAAAACAGATATAAAAGTGGGTATGTAATAAGTCACTATATTCATTAAAGCCATGGAAAAAAACAAAACGACGCTGAAAACCATTGTTTCCTATGTCAGCTATCTGCTGCTGTGGGAGGAAAGTTCCCCCTTAAGCATAACTGATTGAAATAATTTTTCCATTTGCATGTGCCAGGAATCCAAGCACAGCCCGGCTGGCATCTTTAGCTCAGGTCCTTATGCAGTCAGGCTGTGGACCCATCTGAAGGGTCAGCCAGTGCAGGGTGGGTGTTGTCCAGTACAGACCTCTCGTGTGTCTCTCTCCAGGGTGGCCTCACGGAGTCTCAGCTGACATCCCAAAAGGTGGGAGATTTAAGACAGAGCAAGGGGCAGCAGCCAAGACAGAAGCAGTGCTCTTTCTGACGCATCCCCAGAAGTGACATTCCTGGTCTGCTCAGGAGCAGCTGAACCACACAGCGGCTGCATCACAGGTCAAGGAGTACACAAGGCTGTGAATATTAGAGATGGGGTCACCAGGGACCACCTCGGAAAACACCCACCATTCCAGAGACACCAGAAGCACTTAGCATGGGCTGTCTGCAATGAAGAGAAGTGGGCAGAAGAGGAACACTTTTTCACTGAATATACGTGTATACGTTTTACACCTCAGGTGATGTGTACCTTACTCAACAGGTACATCACATTTACTTTAGATTTAAAATCTAAAACGATAATGAAAAGGTTGGCATTATAGGGGCTGGAGAGCTGTCTCAGTGGTTTAGAACATTTGCTGTTCTAACAGAGGACTCAACGTCAGTTCCCAGCACCCACATGGCAACTCATAACCATCCGTAACCCTAGTTCTTTTACTTTTGTTTGTTTGTTTGTTGTTGTTGTTGTTTTTTGAGATAGGGTTTCTCTGTGTGACAGTCCTAGCTGTCCTGGAACTTGTTCTGTAGACCAGGCTGGCTTCGAACTCAGAGATTTGCCAGCCTCTGTCTTCCAAGTGTTGGGATTAAAGGTGTGCGCCACCACTGCTCAATCCATAACCCTAGTTCTATGAGATCCAAAGCCCTCCTCTGGCCTCCACAGGCATCAGTAACTTTAAAATGCATTTTTAGTTAGAGAGAGAGAGTAACATTTTTAATAGAAAAGCTAAAAGCAAAAAAAAATGAAAACAATTCTATTTAAATAAGTTATTATCAAATACCATAAATATCTGTTTCAAGGAAAGAGAGCTTTATTATGCAAACATAAAACATTTATAACTGTTACTTAATAATACAGGTACATTCTGAGAGATGTGCTTTAGTGGTTCTGTGTATTTCAGCAAAGATGCCTGGGAAGTCACTAGCAATACCATGTTATGGGGCCACCCTCATAGATAGAATGGGGGTCCTTTAAAGGCTATACAGCACACAGCTACACACACATACTACAGTTCCTGTCGATAGCACAAAACACAAACTCAGATGCACATGGAGGCCAGAGAGAGCTGTCAAGTGTCTACTTCTATTGTTCTATACTCCCTTTGTCTTTTAACATAGGATCTCTCCATGAACCTGAAGCTCACGGTGTCAAACACGCCCCAGAGGGTCTGTCTTGCTCTCCAGAACTGAGATTATAAGCACATCTCACTGTACCTGGCTTTAACGTGAGTGCTAAGAAGACTCGGGTCTCTGTTCAGCCGGCACAAATACAAACTCAAGAGTCTTCACAGTCTGGTCCCTCACAGATGTGGTCTTGTCATCCCATCCCATGAACTCTATCTACATAGGCGATGTTCTGAATTTTATTAACATGCCAGGCTCTGGAGGTAAATGTAACAAGCATGGTGCCAGGCACACAACAGACTTTCACCAAACTCCACCCTCAGGCCAAGGCTGCTTTTGTCTGAATTGCCCCCATGGGTTGCCCTGCTCCCCTCTCCCTCATCCAGCTCCAAGTCAAATTCCCTCCAAGGCCAACTCGGATGTCACTGTCACCATGAAGTAGTCCCCACAGCAGCCAGTGCCTCTTTTCTCCCCGTTGAAGTCAACTGTAATCCTTCTGTCACTTTATTGCCATCTGAATCCAACTCTCTACAACTCCTGGACCACCAACACTAACATCACCTGAGCCCTCATCAGATAGTAAAGAGCAAGAGTCTAAATGTTAACAAGATACTGGTCATTTATATGCACATTTAAGTTTGAGAAACACTGATTCAAAACTGTCAGGCCTGGGGCTGCAGAGATCAGTGATTGACAGCCCTAGCTGCTCTTAAAGAACCACATTCATGTAGATGGAAATTTCTGTCCTGCCCAGTCCCAAAGAAACACAGAGGCATATGTTAATTATAAACTGTTTGATATATTAGCTCAGGCTTATTATTAACTAGTTCATACAACTTAAATTAACCCATAATTCTTATCTACGTTTAGTCCTGTGGCTTGGTACTTTTTCTCAGTAAGGCATTCTCATCTTACTTCCTATGTCTGGCTGGTGACTGACTCTCTGCCTTTCCTCTTCCCAGAATTCTCTTAGTCTGGTCTCCCTGCCTATACTCCCTTCCTGGCTACCGGCTAATAAGTGTTTTACCAAACCACTACGAGCGGCAAATCTTTACAGTGTACAGGAGCATTATACCACAGTACATTCACTTCACACGGTGGCTGACAAACCATCTACGACTCCAGGGACCTGCTGCCCTCTTCTGGCCTCAGCTGGCCCCAGGCCTGCCTGAACTGTAATACTTCCTGTAACTTTCTTCCAGCTCTATGCCCAGGGCCCAGCACAAGACTCCATGCTAATGGTGGGCATGGTGGCACACAACTGTAGCCCTGACATTTGAGAGGCTGAGGAAGATCATTAGGCATTGTGGCTAGTTTTTAATCCCAGTCCTGGGGAAACAGAGAGAGGAGGATCCCTGGCTCACTGGCCAGGCCACACCATTTAGTTGGTAAGCTCAAGACCAATGAGAGACTGTCTCAAAGGGGGAGGATGGTGTTCCTGAGGATGACACCTAAAGTCTACACACACACACCCATACACAAACATGCATGCATAGACACAAACATGCATAAAAAAGGTAGTAACAACTGCACATACTGGCTTTTTGGGAGCCTAGGCAGTTTGGATGCTCACCTTACTAGACCTGGATGGAGGTGGGGGTTCCTTGGACTTCCCACAGGGCAGGGAACCCTGATTGCTCTTTGGGCTGACGAGGGAAGGGGACTTGATTGGGGGAGGGGGAGGGAAAAGGGAGGCGGTGGCGGGGAAGAGACAGAAATCTTTAATAAATAAATAAATTTAAAAAAAAAAAGAAAAAAAGAATTCCCAGTGGCGGGGGGAAAAGGTAGTAACACATTCACAAACGTCGGATAGTCTGTCTGGTACAGATTTGCTGGCTTATTTGCAGATGTTCCACTATCCACAAAGGCAACAAGAATGAGTTTGTATCAGGGTTTTTGTTTTTAAATTTGCTAAGAACAGTGAAGGGATATAGATCAAAATATCTAGGGTGGGTTTTGCATTATACTTTTGTGTTGTTTAATTGTTTTCCTATTTTCCCTTTAATTAAATACAAAAACATATAGTAAGAACAAAGCCACTTTTTTTTTTTATATGTTCCCACGCTCTGTGTCTGGTCCTGCGCATGCCAGCCTTGCCTTCTACAAGAGGGAAGCTGGGACCCCAAGGCAAGAGGCCACTGCACAGAGGGTGACTGAGGCTCTGACCTATAACTCAAGGCTGCCTCTAAGATTATTTCCTGTCACTGTGTGTGATGGCTAATCTTGGCCACAGCTGGAATCAACTAACACCCAAGCAACTGGGCATGCCTGGGAGGGGTTTTCTTGACTGTATCATGGGGGGGGGGACCCACCCTAAATCTGGATCATTTGAGGCGGGGAGACCCATCCCAAGGCTGAACCACACTTTCTGTCCACATAAACGCATAGGGAAGCAGCAGCTTTTGCTTTAGGCTTACTGCCCTCACTCTAACCCCAGTCTCTCCATATAGTCTTCCATTCCATCAGCTGTTCCTTTAGGGAGCCCTACAACACTACGATAAACACACTGACATATGCAACTGAAAGGAGAAAGGTTTATTAGGCTCGTAATCTGAGGGGACAGTACATCGCTGCGGGGAAGTCAAGGTGGCAAGCACCCGAAGCAGCTGGTCACATGATACCCACGGTCAAGAGCAAAGGCGTAGTGCGTGCCTGCTGGTGCTCAGCCTGCTCTCCCTCATGTGATCTAGGGCCCAGCCCATGAAACGATGCCACCCACATCAGGATGGCTCTTCTCACCTCAATAAAGAAAATCCCGCAGGCCTGCCTGCAGGCCAACCAAATCTAGAACATTCCTCATTGAGACTCCCTTCCAAACGAACAATTAAAACTAACAATCACAGCTGGCGTATTCTCCTACCTGGCCAGTCACTCCAAACCCAGAAGAATGTAGCCAATAAAAGGTCACCTGAGCCTCCAGCCTGGCATCTGGGGAGTCACTATTCTCAGCTAACATATTTCTTTCCCTTTTCTGAGACAAGAGTCTCGGTATGTAGCCTTGGTTGGTCTGGAGCTATATGTACTCCAGGATGATCAAAAATCACAGAGATCGCCTCTCTAGGGGCAGGTGAGATAGTCCTGGCCCTCAGCTACTTTTAACAGCAACAGGGACCTCTCAAGGACAAAGCATTCAGAACTGCTCACGTTGCACCGTCTCCCCCTGGTGGCTAGTTCTGGAAATGGTAAACATTTTAAACGTTCCCTTTCCTTCAGTTCCTCCCTTCTTTGGGTGTGCAAGAGATTGAATCCAGGTCTTCATGTGCCACACACACACTGCTACTGCCCTGCACTCCCAGACCCACTCAGATTTAAACCACTAAGGACTCAGATACACATAACCAGGACCTGAGCCAACTAAAGTACTTCAGCTGACACAGAGGCAGGGACAGCCATGGATCTTCAGCTCCTGGTTCTTTCCTTCCTTGCCGCTTCAAGCCTAACGATGGAGATGGACACTGTTTATCAGTGCTGCCTTCCTTTTCCCTCTGCCCCTATCCACTTCTCAGAGCTGCAGTACAGTGGCCATGGGCCCCTGGCCATGGCCTAGCACGGAGAAGCCGTAGGCACCTCTAACCGTCGGCACTGGTATTTCGGAGCGTGGGGCTGCAGTGCTGATGCTCACTTCGAGATAGCCGAGGGTGGCAACAGCAGCAGTCAGCTGCGGGGCTCCACAGCTCCGGTCACTGTGCAGCTTCCTGGCTCCTCCAGGAAGAAGGAGACGCTCACCAAGATATCTAGAACAGGAAACGGGGTACACAACATCAGGTTTAAGGCCCCGAAGCACAGCAGGGGTGTCTCTAACATCCCCACAGAGGCAAGCCGCAGGGAAAGGAAGGCAGCATGGGAGCTAATGGAAACCAGTACCTGGCACAAAGCTTGGGCATTCGTCTTCTGAAATTTGTTCCCAGGCCTTAGGCAGTGCTTGGATGCTGGCCAAGTCTCCCCAGTGGATGGAGGAGAGAAGGTACTTTCTCTTCAGGTACCTTCCCAGAAGTTAAGGATGGCTCAAAAAATAAAAAAATAGGAAAGGGGCCAGGCAGTGGTGGCGCACGCCTTTAATCCCAGCACTAGGGAGGCAGAGGCAGGAGGATCTCTGTGAGTTCGAGGCCAGCCTGGTCTACAAGAGCTAGTTCCAGGACAGGAACCAAAAGCCACGGAGAAACCCTGTCTCGAAAAGTCAAAAAAAAAAAAAAATAGGAAAGGGAACCTGCTGGGGAGAAGTGTAGGAAGCTCAGTGGCAGAAGCTCGAGTAGCAGTACACCTTCCCAGGTGGGCGGAGCTTACCGTGCCGAGAGACTGCTGAGCACCCGTACTAGCACAACCTGATGCTACTAAGAGGACCCAGACCTCACAGGCTGAGGATGGACCAGACAGAAAAGCAAAGTGACCTGAAAGATAGAACTCACTGGCAGTTCTGGTCAGCTGTAGTGGCCCATGCCTTAATTCTAGCACTCAGGAACAGAGGCAGAAGGACCTTGTAAGTTCAAGGCCAGCCTGGTCTACAGAGCTAGTTCCAGCACAGTCAGGGCCAAACAGAGAAACCAAAATGTAGTGAAAACAAAAACACCTCAGTGGCAGTTCAGATGGACACACCATGGGCAGAAACAGAGAAACAAAAGCACGGGGCAGAGAAAGTATGGTGTCCTAGCACACTTGGCTAGAGTAATGGAGGACAAGGCAGGGATTAACAGAAGAGCTGACAACCTCCGGATAAACACAACTAGATCTCCTAAAGATGACAGTCTGGTCCTTAACCACAGGCAGCTCAGAGAATCTGTCGGAAGAGGATACAGGATTAAGAGTCTGTGTCCTAGGGCTGGCAAGATGGCTCACTGGGTAAAAGTGTTTGCTGAAATCTGATGACCAGAACTTCATCCAGGGAGTCACATGGTGGAAGGAGAGAACCAATTCTGCCAAGTTATCCTCTGACCTCTACATAAATGCTGGTCAGCATGGCTTTAGCCACACTATTCTGCTTAAAACCTTCTCAGAATGTTCATCTCAGAATAACAGCCAAAACCTTCAAGATCCTTCTCAAAAACCAAGCCCCCCCCATCACTATCCTCATGCCCTGCCCTCACCACATAGGCTTCACGGCTATTTCCTAAAAATATCAGGCATGCTCCCACCCAGCCCTTTCCACTCGATGTACCCTCTGCCTGGGCCATTCTACCCCCACATACCCACACGGCTCATTCCTTCACTCTTTGAAATTTTGGCTTAAATGTCATAACCATCACTGCCTCCTGGGTGCCTGCCCTGACACTGTTAAAATCACAACCCCAAGCTGGGCTAAACACACCTTTAATCCTAGCAGAAGCAGGCAGATCTCTGAAGACAGAGGCCAGGACAGCCAGGACTACACAGAGAAACCCTGTCTTAAAAACTAAAACAAACAAACCAATCCCAGCCCCACCTTCCTACCAGCCGTTCCTGCTCTAATCTTAGCACTCACCGTCGGACACTATATACTTGCCCTCTCTCACGCCTGCCCCTCAACACTCACAGCAGGTCCTAGCAGGTGAACTGTAAGGAAAGCCTATACAAACCCAAATGCAGGAAGCAGCCAGGTCTGAGCACTGACAGGAAACTGCAGCAAACTGTACAGCCTGCTGACCTTGTGCAACCCAAGCCAGCAAAGGCTTTGAGGAGCAGCTCCGGGCGGCCTGGACCACACTCAAGGATATGAGCTTCGATAATGTCTGTCAATGTCTTGCAGCCACTCCAACATGTCAGCCACAGAAGGGCTCACAACCGAGGGCCGCAGGATAGCGTCCATGTCAAGCGCAGCCGAGTGCTGCTCGTAGGTCTGGAACACCCGCTCCACATGGCTGCTGACGGTGTCGCGAACCCTGAGGAGGGTGGCTCTGTGGGGAAAATGGGATGTCAGGCAGTGTCACAGAAGAGGGAGGAGGTAAGGCTTATCTACCCACTACTGCCATTTGGAGGACTTTAGAGAGTGCCCAAACCCTCAGACACGCTGGGAAAGTGGGCTACCACTGAAGTACACCCCAGAGCCACTTTGCAAATTCTTTTTAATTAAGTATGGGGAAGGGTGCACACATGCCACAGCACATGTGTGGAGGTCCGGGAACTACCGTGTGGTGTCCATTCTGTCCTCTCACCTTTCTGTGGCTCAAGGGACTGAACGCAGGTCATCAGGTTAGCATAGCAAGTACCTTCACCCAGTGAGCCATCTTGACTGCCCTCATTTGGACACTTCCTGAATGACAATGTGGACTCGGGGTGCACAGACTGCTGTGGAAAGTAAGGTCTTTCCCCTTTGCTCACTGTGTCTCCACAGAACAGGACGACATATACAGCAAACACAGAGTCAGTGTATCAGTGAATGGTCATTAGAAAGGTAAATTCGACCATGTGTACAAGGAGGCAGTGGTGGTGGCATCAAACACCTTTAATCCCAGCACTCGGGAGGCAGAAGCAGGCGGATCTCTGTGAGTTTGAGGCCAGCCTGGTCTACAGAGCAAGTTCCAGGACAGTCAGGACTACTTTCCGTCTAGGTCTAGGTGGGTTTGGGAGGTGGGGGTAGACAGGACACAAGGACCCAAAAAGAAAGGGTGCTGGGATGAAAATTCTGTACCACCAGCTGCTTAGTTTACTATGCTAATGCAGACTCCCAGGATCCATCACCAAGACAAAGACTGTAACTTCTCAAAGGATTCCCTAGCCCAGATTTCTGGTTCTAAAAAGCCCGACAGATTTGCAATGTAAAAAAAAAAAAAAACAAAAAAAAAAAAACAAAAAAAAAAAAAAACAAGAAACAATCCAAAACCCACAAGTCTATGAGCCTATAGTCGGTGACCAACAGCAATAAACAGAAAACAAAGTATCAATGTTAACACTTGTGGTATGCTTCAGGAGCTATTTCAGCTATACATGTATCCACCTCTGTCAGCTACACCTGTGCAGAACGGGGTGGTGCTGAAGAGCCCCAGCTAGAGTGGCAGGCACACTTCAGAATCCCAGCTCTGAGCCAAGCCGGTGGAGGCGCACGCCTTTAATCCCAGCACTCGGGAGGCAGAGGCAGGCGGATCTCTGTGAGTTTGAGGCCAGCCTGGTCTACAAGAGCTAGTTCCAGGACAGGAACCAAAAGCTACGGCCCTGTCTCAAAAAATCAAAAAAAAAAAAAAAAAAGAAAAAAAAAGAATCCCAGCTCTGTTTCTCACTGGGTATGTAATCAGGACGATTGGTTTGATGGAAAGTACAAACAGGGTTAGCCCAGAGGTGTATAAGGTAATGCACAGAAAACCCTTAGTTCTGGCACTTACTAGCCCTAAAATATACCAAAGACAACTACAGAAGGCTACACTCTCTCCAGTCCCCTTCCTTTCTGCTTTTCTAATTTCTTTAGTTGGTTTAGGATTACTTATTTTTATTTTATTTATTTATTTATTTAGGATTTTTGAGACAGGGTTTTTCTGTAGCTTTTGGTTCCTGTCCTGGAACTAGCTCTTGTAGACCAGGCTGGCCTCAAACTCACAGAGATCCACCTACCTCTGCCTCCCGAGTGCTGGGATTAAAGGCATGCGCCACCACCGCCCGGCTTATTCATTTATTTTTATTATTTTTTAAATTTATTTTTAAGACAGGGTATCTCTGTGAGCCCTGATCTCGAACTCAGAGATCTGGCCTGCCTATGCCTCCTGACTGCTCAGATTAAAGACATGTACCTGACCTGGTTTTCTCTTTCTTTCTTCTTTTTTTTTTTTTTTTTTTTTTTGAGACAAGGTCTATAATGTAGCTTAGGCTGGCCTTAAACTCAACAATCCTTCAACCTTAGTCCCCTGAATGACCACTCCCACCTTGCTTTTGTAACTTTTATAAGCCCACCCTTACTGGGTCTGGGATGCCACAAAGCATTAAGATCTTTCCGCCAAGAAAAGGGGGCCATGGAGTCTCTTACAGCCTGTCAGTTATCTTGTCCAGGGCGATGTCGCCAGCCTCCAGTTGCTTGCGCCTCAGCCGCTCCTGTAAGTCTGGGAAGGGACGAAGGGCAGGCACATCCTCGAAGCGCACGTTCTGTGCAGCCTGGAGCTGCTCTGCCAGGTTGCTGAGAGAGGAGAGGAGGGGAGAGCAGTCCTGCAGAGTGCTCTGCCATAGGCCCTGCTGCTGCTCCACCACGGGGAAGCACTTCCTCAGGACCTCCTGCACGGCCAGCAAAGGCTGGTCTTGAGCCATCTTCTGGGAAGACAAAACCAAGAGTCAGGGTACCAGAAGGGGAGGGCCTGGGTCAAGGGTGAGTCACATCTGACCTCATGAGAAGGTCAGCTTTTGGTCTTCAAATAGTTCTGAGGCAATGCAGAAAGGTAGGGAGGTGTTGGGGGATGTGACAAAGAACATGGGCTCCCATCCTGGAAGCAGGTTGAGGGCTCTGGTCAACAGCAAAGTGGGAATTGCAGCAGTACAATTACCAGCCCTTCGATCTTCTAAAATCCCACTCCAGGGAAAGGAAGGTACCCCTGGTACAACCACAGCAGCTCCTGGTTTCACCTTTTAGCTTATAATATCGTCCAAGGCATCTTAGAAGTCACCTCACTTCCTTCTCTTATCAAAGAGAAGACAGAGAAGGGAATAACAGGTTTTTTTTTTTTAAAGAAACCTTCTTGAGATGCATCTTGAAAGCCACCAAAGTAGTATACATGATTAATGTTAAAAAAACAATCAATTACTGACTCTCCCTTAGAAGCCCACACCCACTTGGCTATGTCTTGCTTTCTGAGATTCTTTGAGCAGCTGGCAAGTGTCTTTTATTTTCTCTCTAGGTACCTCTTTCTTAACCCTTGTGCTTAAGCCTGTATTAAAAAGAACTTTAGGCTGGACATTGTGGCATGCACCTTTAATCCTAGCACTGAGGAGACAAGAGATAGGCAGATCTCTGAGTTCAAGGCAACCTGGTCTACAAAGAGAGTTCCAGGCCAGCCAGTGTTACACGGTGAGTCCCTACTCAAGTGTGTGTGTGTGTGTGTGTGTGTGAGAGAGAGAGAGAGAGAGAGAGAGAGAGAGACTGATTCCGCTTCATAAATGAACTGGCTAGACCTGAATCCTTTTTATTGTCAAAGTCACCGACTGAGCTGCAGTCCCTAAAAGCTCTGGGGAGCACCTCATGCTGCTAAGGGTGGGAGAGTGAAGCTGTGTCTCTCTCTGTCTTGTCACCGCTGACACTCAAGAGTGGAGGGTCTGGCGGTCCTCTTACCAGCTCTCTCTGTGGAAGAACTCTTGCTTCTCACCTCAGGAAGAGGGTCCTGGAAGTCTTCAGAAGAGGTTTCTTCAGGACAGGGAAATCTTCTGCCTTAGACTGCGAGTCCCCTGGAGCCTGGCTCTCCTCGAAGCCGTGTGTCTGAAGCCAGAGTCTCGTCGCCTCTCTGAGCTTGCCAGCCGTGTCCCTAAACCAGCAGGAAAACCTAAATCCTGGCTAGTCAAAACTGAGTGGACACCAAGAGCCACACTGCGCTTAGCACTGTCTGCACATGCTCAAACGCAAACCCTACAGTCTAATTCCACTTAGTGCAATTCGGAAGTCGCGAAAAGAAGGCGTAGGCCGCAATGACTTCTGGGCATTGAAGTCCTCTATGAGAATTGGTCGAGGGACGGAGAAGGAGCTTTGTTGTGATTGGGCGTTGTGAGAAGCGTCCCAAGACGGTGACTTGTTATTGGCCGTCCTGTATTCGTTGAGTTTAAATTGGGTGGCGGTTAGCGGAGGAGCTGCGAGGTTTCCTGCGTCTGTGTTTCGGGTCCCTCAGGTACGCGTCCGCAGACTTCTGGGTTCCCAGCCTCCAACGACTGAACTCCCGGCGCTCCGCGCACGTCCCCTTTCCCCGTCTCAGTCGCCGAACCCGGCTGCTCGGTCCTTCCCTCGACGCAGCCCTCACCCCGGCGCCATGGCTCCCAGGAAGGGCTGCAGCCGCCCCTCCAAGACCAACGCGCTGCGGAGCCGTAAGCTCGCCTCCTTCCTGAAGGACTTCGACCGCGAGGGTAAGGAGCGAATTCGCGGCCCTCGCGAATTTCTGGCGGGTTGGGGCGCGGTGGCGACGGCTTTGCCCTCTTGTTGACAACGGGAATCCGTCGGCTTTGACCTCTTTGCAGTGCTAGTTCGAACCAAGCAGATCGAGTCCGACAGACAGAACCTCCTCAAGGAGGTGGAAAACTTATACAACATCGAGATCCTTCGGCTCCCCAAGGCTCTGCGCGAGATGAACTGGCTTGATTACTTTGGTAAGAGCAGCTAGCATCTTCCCGGTGGCCGACTAGTGCTTGTCTTGAAAGCCTTCTGCAGCGACTCGTTCTTTTTTTTTTTTTTTTTTTTTTTTTTTTTTTTTTTTTTTTTGGTTTTTCGAGACAGGGTTTCTCTGTGGCTTTGGAGCTCGTCCTGGAACTAGCTCTGTAGCGACTCGTTCTTAATGAAGCCTACCATAACCACCCGTGGGAAATTGCCGGCTGTCATGACGTATAATCGAATGGCAGGGCCCTAGAAAGGGAGCTGACTTGAAGTACCCCTCAGATGAGCATTCTTACTAGGATAGCGTGCCTCACGTTCCCAGCCGAGTGGGAAAGCATTAGCAGACATATGTCAGAGGTAGGTAGGATGATGGGGGCCTTAAGGGAGAGAAGAGACAGCACCTTCAAGTCCGGAGGCTCTCAGGGGTTGAGGGAGGGTGTTGCACACTGGCCTAGTCTAAGCTAGCCTACCTGCCAGTAGGCAAGGACGAGGGGCACTAGGCCTTACAGAGGAAATCTCTCTCTCTCTCTCTCTCTCTCTCTCTCTCTCTCTGTCCAAGGAGAGGGTTGGGGAGACACACCCATATTTAGGGGAGGGGGAGGTTGTGATCTAAATCCACCCTATTGCTCAGTCTCACCCAGGACTGTCATCCAGCCCATGGGTAGGCAAACCTTTTCTCTTAATAGGCCAGGTAACAAATATTGTAGATTTCTGGATCTGGATTTCCGTTATAGTTCCAAAGGAGTCATGATGAATTTTATTTCTGGGCACACGGAATGTCAATTTCACATAATTTTCACACATCAGGAAATACTTGTGTATACTCAGACTTTTGAAGATGAATGAATAAATTGTGAAAAAAAATGGTTCAGTTTTGTCAAAGCTCAATTAGAACGGTATCCTCAAACAGCTCTTTCGTATGGAAATCACCAGTTTAAAAATGAGCAAGTCACTTGTGAACTGCAAAGACAGGGGTGTTTTTCTGACCAGAGAAAAATCTCACCCCATTCCCACCACTTGTTAGACTTCAGTGCAATGTGGAGGCGTTGTTCCCTCTCATCCATTAGGTGGCTGTCACTCGCTCCTTTTTCTTCACCGCTGATAGCTGCCAGTGTGTCTCTTTCTTCCTGGGCGGAAGTGCGTGTTTTTTTTTTTTACTCACAGGAGCCGTGATTCTTCTGATATGCCATATTAACCCACATGCTCATTCATTTCTACAAAGTTAAATATTAGTCATCATTATACTGGGTACTAAAGTTGCAGTAAGGAATAAAGCAGACACTGTCTCCACACTAGAAGCTTAAAGGTAGTGTAGAAGGGTCTTTTAAAAACTCATATAGAGCTAGGTGATGATGGCATATGCCTGGTCTACAGAGTGAGCTCCGGGACAGCCAGGGCTACACAGAGAAACCTGGGGAGAGGGGGGGATTATATAGAATTAGAATTTTAAATACTACAAAAAAGATGGGAGTAGTAACCAGTAAGTGCAAATTAATAATAGTAAACCAGTTTGGGTTTTGTTTTTGAGACAGGGTCCCTTTGTGGCCCTGGCTGTCATGGACCTCTCTTAGGTAGACCAAAGTGGCCTTGAACACACTTGATCTACCTGCCTCTGACTCCGAGTTCTGGTGTTCAAGGCATGTGCCACCATGCCAGACAGTAGACCAGTTTTAGCATGATAAGGTTAGGATACAGAGATAGACTTTACTCAGGCTCACATATTTAGAGGCAGAGTCTGTTTGGACCCCTGGCACATTCTGTTTATAAGGCCCAAGATATACATAGGAAGGATTCGGAAGGATTTCTTTTTCTTTCTTCCTTTCTTTTTTCTTTTTTTTTTTTTCTTTTTCGCTTTTTCGAGACAGGATTTCTCCATAGCTTTTGGTTCCTGGAACTAGCTCTTGTAGACCAGGCTGGCCTCGAACTCACAGAGATCCGCCTGCCTCTGCCTCCCGAGTGCTGGGATTAAAGGCGTGCCACCACCACCGCCCGGCCTGGCCAGGAGGATTTCTAATAAGAGGAGCTAACCTAAGTTCTCATTCTACATCTGGATCTAACAAAGATCTTTTTAGTCTGACATTTACTATGCCAGGTTCTTACTAGGACCAAAGGATATCATCTCTGGAATCCAGTTCAGGCAGGAGTAGACAACTAAATAGCTTTAGTAGCTTTTGAGTAGCTTGCTATGCTATATACGCGTGTGTTTACACTTTGAAGCAGTCTATTATAGTAGAAAAATGAACAGTTTGAGTGCTGCATTTGAGCTGAGCTTTAAAGAATGAGTAGAAATTTGTAGGGTACAGAGAAGTACTGAGCAGAAGAAGGGCTTTGTATCAAAGCACTGGGTCGTGGGGACAGCTGCACATTTGGGGACAACAGGAACTCTGAGGACACAGATGGAGAACTACAGCAGTGAGGGTCAAACTGGAAGAAAGATTGTGAAAGGCAGTGCTATCCCCAAGGCTTCACCCATCAGTTTGAGAAAGATAATGGAGAGTACTGGGAAAGACAATTCATCCTTCAGACCTAATAGTAACTAAATATGATGTTCTTTTTCAAGCCCTTGGAGGAAACAAACAGGCCCTGGAGGAGGCAGCAACAGTAAGTGAACCATTTTGTTTTTGAGTTGGTTAGTTTGTAAGTTTAACCTGTCATAAAAATCCAGCTACTGGATGTGTACTGTAGAAAAGGTTTCCTCAGGACATCGTTTGTGTCAACTGAAAAAATATAGTTGTGCCAAGATACTGCATACGTGAAGTCCAAATAGATATCATTCCTTAAAAATGAGTGTGCTGTGTGTGCCACCCTGCCCCCTGCATCTTTGACTTCCTCATCTTGGGTTGCAACCAACCATGGGTCAGAAATATTTAAAAAAAAAAAATAGATTGCATCCACACTGAATATGTACATACTTACTCTAAGTCCACAGCATAGCAACTGTCTATATAATATTTACCTGGTGTTAAGTGTTTTGATTTGTTTAGAGAAAGTTTGAAATATATAGCACTTGTTTACATTATATGTGAATACTATTCCAATTTCTTTGCATTTTGATTTCCTGAAACAGTCTCACCCAGACTGGCCTAGAACTTGTGATCCTCTTGCCAACCTCTCCAGTCCCTTCTCCCTGACCCCTTAAAATGTCATAAAGCTACAGAAATAAGACTGTTATATCAGAATATTTGGCCTTTTAAGCTGTGCAGCTCCGTGGTTACAATGGTGAGATTCCTTTGCTAGTCACAAGCACGGTTCAACCTTCCCGAGTTTATGTCAATAAAGTGATATACAGAAAATCCTCAGACAGCACTGGGTGGGGTTCTGTTTGCCTCACATTGGAGCTCAGAGCTCCTCCTGTGGAAGGAAGGGCTAAAAGTCAGCTGATGGCCAATGGCAAACAGTCGGTCAGTCATACCTCTCTACCTCCATACACCCTCACTCAGGGTTTTTTTTTTGTTTGTTTGTTTTTCGAGACAGGGTTTCTCTGTGGCTTTGGAGCCTGTCCTGGAACTAGCTCTGTAGACCAGGCTGGTCTCGAACTCACAGAGATCCACCTGCCTCTGCCTCCCGAGTGCTGGGATTAAAGGCGTGCACCACCATCGCCCAGCTCACTAAGGGTTTGAGAGCTACAGGGGGGGGGGGGGGCACAGCAGAAGGGCATAGGAGTCATGGCCTGTCCCCAACACCTTGCTATGACATCTGGTAGGAAAGTTTGTGTTTTTCTTTTCCTTCTGAAAGATGAATAATGTTAGTTTATGAAATAAACTGTTAACAGATTAGTTCATAAACATATGGATAAACAGATTAACATGGAGTTTGTGGGCAGTGGGGAGGGTATGGCTTAGAGTAAGGACTTAAAAAGAGGGATCGTTGGAAGGAAAGGTGATGCAAACTGTGAGGGGCTGAGAAAACATCCCAAGGAGAGCAAAGATTCTCCTGTTACACAAGCAGTGAAGATGGATTTGTCAATCCTAAATCATCAGAGGAATCTGGTCCATTTTGACAGCTTCCTTGTGGTCCTTTACCTTGAAGTTTGTAGGGGAAGTGGAGAACATTAGATCTTAAGTTTCTTTAACTCTTTTAGACTCAGCTGAGTGTGGTGATGCACGTCCTCAATCCCAGTATTTGAGAGGCAGTGACAGGGGAATCTCTGACTTCGAAGCCAGTCTGGTCTACAAAGCAAGTTCCAGGACAGCCAGGACTACACAGAAAAATCCTTTCTCGGGGAAAAAAATGTATTATGCT